TGCTCTAAATGTTAGTCCAGAGGTACCTCCTCATCAACTGGTACATGGGGTCAGGCAGGGAGGCACACTTTAGTACAAACGGAAGGGTCGCGCATCGGGGGCGAAAAAGGACTGCAGCCACTGATCAGGGAACACGGGCTGCCAGCTAGTTATAGATTGCTGCCTGCGAACAGCTGCTACCGTCGCCACCACGGGGGCTTCGCCATTTGCCGACTGTATTTGCCGATGAGGTGTCAACTTTCAAATCCGAGGCGGCCATGGGCTAGCTGGCAATCATTTCAGAGGGGCCAGAAGCAATAAGCAATACATACACCTTGATACAAGGGCGAACCTACCCACTACTACAGCCACCTACCATCACGGCTGCTGGTCGATGTGTCGGGAAGAGCAGCCCTCCTTTCCCGCAAAGAGGAGCCGCTCGTCTTTGGATGGGCTCCCTCCAGGTGCTTGGCAGCTGGCTCACACTTGGAAGCTGATGGATACTGTGGCGGTTAAGCCGGGATCATCCATCCCCTTTCCCGTGCAGGCAATCACATAGTTACTTCTGGATGTGCTTGCCGAGTCCTGGGCGTGAATTACTCATTTCCAATCAAAACTGGCCATTCGCTGGCTTACACCCCTCCATCAGGCTTTGCAGGTGGGGGGGAAGGGTTAATGCGGAAGTGATTGGACGTCATGTTTTTAGCTGGAAACACACAGCCTTCGCGAGGGGTGAGCGGCCATACGGCTGCTCTGTATTTTGCATATCTCCACTAGGCCTCAGCAACGGGAATAACCCGGTCAGCCTGCCTCGCTGCCTGCTCTGCCCTCGTCCCAGCTCGATACCCTCCTCGATCCGCTGCAGTTGCCGTTACTGCCGGCAATGTTGGGTGACTGAAAATTAATGCCCACGGTACAACTGCATGCACCCTTGCCATAATGATTCCCTCACACCAACCGAGGGGCCTAAAAAGCCGTTGTAGGTCCATGTGGTCGACTTGCCCATCCGTCCCGACAAGCCTTACAGGCTACGCCAGGAAAGGAAAACATCACACACTGTTCCCTTGCCTCCCTCTCCCCAGAATAGTTACGGCAGAAGGCACATAACAATGCTTGCTCTGAAAGTCCCGACACGACCCAAAGCCAGGTCAGGGCCCCAGCAACACACACTCTATCATATTTAACAACCTATATGACCACAGCAAACAAGGAATAAGATACACGTATATGACCCCCGGTATCACCCCTCGCCGCTGCCAGCTCCTCCTTCGTCTTAATAATCCAATAGCTGCAGCATCAGCTACCACCGCCGACCATGTTCTTATCCTTCCCGTCCGGCCCTGCGCACAAACGCATCGCTTTTGCGGTATGCCACGCTTGCTTCCGTCTCGTTATGCTTCTGTGCGCCCGCTAATAAGGCCGTCTCCTTTCGGCAATAGTGCGGACGTTGCCACAAGCGCAAGGTCCGCTGCAGCGGCAACCCTGGCGACGGCTCGCCCTGCTCCAATTGCGAATCGGCCGACCCAGGGACCTGTCAGTTCCCAAAGGCGCGGCCGGCACAACAACGAAGGGCCAATAAGGGCCTAACCAGACATACGCCGCTACAGGTGCCATCGCAGCCCACGTCCGTGGGTTGCGACGGCGAGCCCGGCGTCGGGTCGCAGCATATGGATTGCGGCTACGATCTGCTGCCGCCTGTGCAGCACGGCACCGAAATGGGCTCTTGCGAAACCATGATAAGCTCCCAGCCGCGCGCGCCGACGGACAGTAGCGGCAGCTACGGCGGCAGCAACGCCGCCAGTTCCACCGCCGTCGCGTCGGCATCGCCGGCGCCGCCCTATAACTGCGATTTTATTGCGACA